TTAAGAAGAATCCTTATGCAGAGTTTTTAAAACTAGAAAATCAGAACACAGAGAACAAGTCTCAAATTATAACTTGCACCATTTTCTTTTAATTGTGTCTGGAATTGTTTTGTAAGTACAAAAACCTTCCCTCTTATACAAAAACAGGCTGATGTACCTTTTCTTACTATTCGTATTGTGTCATCAAAGACAGAACAATGAAATAAGTAATGTTATACATAAATCTTTACGGTACAATACATTGCATGGAACATTTTTCATTAGATATAGCTATAGTACTTAATACATATTTTGAAACACTCTTGAAATAGGTCAGTGCAAACACACTTACACAATGACACCACCGACAACACCATATAAATAGCCTGAGACACAGCTGTAACATTTTACATCACACCTAAAGAACACGTTCTTCAGAACACAACAATTTAGACCACTCTTAATTTACAATATTAAAGTAATTTCCTTTATACAGAAAGATGTCAGACTACATTAAAACCACAAAACTCAACGATTTAACTACTTGTTAAACAAGCTTTAACTACTTGTTTTCTAGATAAGATGCTCACTCTTACAAGAGTCTATATGTCTTTCCTAGTATGCCAAGGGCCCTCGGTCCAGTGTCTGCAGCATTCCAGAGAAAGGGAGACTGTTTTTTGTTTCCATGCATCTGAAGAAGTGGGTTTTTTACCCATGAAAGCTTATGCCCAAATAAATCTGTTAGTCTTTAAGGTGCCACTGGACTCCACGTTGTAACTGTTCAGAGCACTTGGCCTTCCTTCTTGGTTAAAAAACACAAAGGTGCTTTCTCAGATATAGGATGAATGATAAAAATCTGCCCCCAATTTATCTTTTAAGGTAACAATGTGCCTAGCCTTCATCTGTACTGTTCTCTAACAAGACGCCGTCATGTTTTACCTTAAGTATAGTAAACCTTCTTCTGTCTTTTTTCTTCTTTTTCTTTCTTGTGTAGTTTTCCTTGAAGATCTTTCCAGAGGTCTTGGGTTTTATCTTTTCCACAGTATGTAAGCAAGATGTGCAGTCAGGAATCACTCCTTTTTGGGGAGCGAGGTGCCCTTTTTTTGTTTTTTTTTTAATTAAAAATCACTTTATAGCCTCATACATTTACACAGCACTGCCCAAAGATAGGTGCTGCTCCTTCAGTGAGCTCTGAGTGTCTGGACCCCTGCCTCAATGCAGAGATCATTGCAGGCTCAGGGCCACAGAGCATTATGTTACTGCAATTATTTACAGGACTAGTCCCATTGAAATAAAGCCTATAGAGTGAGCCACATTTCAAAGCTTTTTATTATGTGAGCATTTATGACAGGTAGCGCTACCTTAAGTTACGCTTTAACTTCTATTTGCGCTGATACGATTTATAAATCGGTTTGTTTTATTTGGAAAGGTGTAACACTGTTTATATTCACACTGGCAGCACAAACAGAAGTTAGTATAATTGGAAACATAAGTTTCCATTGTGAATTAAAAGCAAACAGATTTCTGTAGGCCGGGATATCTGTGTGTATCACACCTATAAATCAAGCAGAAAACAGACCTGATGTCCTTCAGTTTGGTTCCTCTGGGACTTGGTTCCTCTAGTCCTGGAGTGTATCGCCACTTTCCTTGACCCAGCAAAAAAGGAAGTTACACATAAAGCAAGAAAGTGAGGTGAGACTAGTCAGCTATGAAACAGAGAGCAGCTGGGTCCAGTTTTATAAGGGGCTAATTGGGGCGCAGTAACTGCAGTTCAGCTACTGGCTGTTCGGGCTCTCCTTGCTTACAAAGGCCTCCCCAGTGGGAGCACAAAGAGGAACAGCGGTTGTGTCTGGAGAGGCAGTCTCTCCTATAATCTTCTTTTCTGCCTAGTCGAGGAACTTCCTTATAGTACAACGTTTTTCATAGGTTCTCAAGGTACAGTCAATGTACTTAATCTGGGATCCAATTGTTAGTCTGGAATAAACATTCCAGCACAGAATGCTTCTAGCTTTGGGACTGCCTAATTTACCAACCTGCAGGCATGCAATGTGCTGACAATATTTTAATAAGCAGCTTTCTCTGGGACTGTGGTAAATATTGTGTACTCGGCTAGTGAGCTTGGAGTGAAGGGTAGGAGGGACTGCAGAATCTATTCATTAGTTTTCCCTTTTAACCAAAAACATTTTCTCATCTCTATGATCCCGGAAGGTGGTAGTATCATTTGGCAAAACGTTTTCTTTTCACAGTTATTGGTGAAATCCTATCCAAGTGACTAGCAAATGTCCCGTTGACGGCAAATTTGCAACAGAACCAGGCTTATACCGTATCTGTCTGACCTACTTCCAATTCAAAGCAGAGTAGATCAAAGCACACTGGGGAACTTTTAGGGCGTGGTAGCAGAGTCCACATGGACAGTTAGGGGACTGTAGATTTATACCCCAGCTTGCTGCACACTAACTGTTCATCTAGACATGCCCCGAGGCTCAGGGATAAGTCATTTGTGGGTGGTGATGATTTAAAGTTATTCAGTGAGTGTGTGCATTGCCCCTGAGGCAAGGGAAAGCACTCCAAGCCTCTCTGGAGTTTGGTGGCAGAATTTTAACATGGCGCCCCTCCAGTGTGTATTTCACTGCTTAAGTCTCGGACAGCAGTAGTCTCTGCATTTCAACTCCTATTGATATTTCTGTTCTATTTTGATTGTGGGGTTTTTTTGGGGTAGCTTTTGGAAAGCTCTTGTAGCTGACAGGAACCCAAAGAAAGAAAGGAGAGACGGTCTCTCATGCTTCCATGCCTTGAGCAGGCAAAATTCAGCTTGAGACCAACATGTGCTGTGTGGTCAGAATAGAGTGGAGTGGCAGGAGAGAACAGTGCCAACCAAAAATACTACATTACTGGAAACCTGCCCATGGTCAGAGGAAGCCAGAAAGTCCTCCTGCTAATCAGCATTCATTTGAAGGCTGGGAAATGTCGTGGATAAGGGAAGACATGGGAGCTGAAAGAGGAAATGTGGAGTTTGGTGCTCATCCTCCCAGCCTCTAATAACTGAGCAAAAATGCAATGTGGAAAATGTACCTGATGACTCACTGCTGTTTAATATTACTTCCAGGAATGCTTCCAAAGCTACATAGGCAACTTAGAATAGCCCCGCTCTGTTCAGCCGTCTTTTACAATGCCCCTTTATGGTGGAAAACACTTCAAAGAGGAGCTGGGTTGGGAAGGTGGGTGGGGTTCAACTCTGTATCTTGAATTTTAAATATACCTTTCCACCTCCCCACTCCCACCCCCCGTAAAGCCTGACTGATGCATGGCTTAATTTTCATAGAATCATAGGACTGGAAGGGACCTTGAGAGGTCATCTAGTCCAATCCCTTGCACTCATGACAGGACTAAGTATTATTTAAACACCTGACAGGTGTTTGTCTAATCTGTTCTTAAAAATCTCCAGATGGAGATTCAACACCCTCCTTAGGCAATGTACTCCAGTGCTTAACTACTCTGACAGTTAGGAAGTTTTTTCTAATGTCCATCTTAAACCTCCCTTGCTGCAATTTAAGCTCATTGCTTCTTGTCCTATCCTCAGAGGTCAAGGAGAACAATTTTTCTCCGTCCTTCTTGTAACAACCTTTTATGTACTTGAAAACTGTTATCATGTCCCCCCTCAGTCTTCTCTTTTCCAGGCTAAACAAACCCAATTTTTTCAATCTTCCGTCATAGCTCATGTTTTATAGACCTTTAGTCATTTTTATTGCTCTTGTCTGGACTTTCTCCAATTTGTCCACATCTTTCCTGAAATGTGGCGCCCAGCACTGGAGACAATACTCCAGCTGAGGCCTAATTCAGCGTGGACTAGAGCGGAAGAATTACTTCTAGCATCTTGCTTAGAGCACTCCTGCAAATATATCCCAGAATGAGGTTTGCTATTTTTGCAACTACACTGTTGACCCATAATTAGCCTGTGATCCACTATGACCCCCAGATCCCTTTCTGCAGTACTCCTTCCTATGCAGTCTTTTTCCATTTTGTATGTAAGCAGCCACTGGCTTCAAGGAGACTACTCATGTTTTTAGGGTTCAATTGGTGCAGGACTGGGGCCAAAGTGTTTGTTTGGGAGGCACATACCAGAACTATATCTCAGGATTTACTTGTAAAATTCAGACAGACAGAAAGCCATTCAAAGGTCTTGTAGCTGTGAACTGAACTAGTGTGTTGCAATATATTTGGAAATGGGAACTCAAATTACAGGAAATGTATGGGGGGGGACGACAAATACAGTTCCTGTGTGGGAAGTTATAGGCTCAGATCCTCTAGTGTGGTGTGGCTCTTTGTGCTGCACTGCCAGTGTATAGTGGACATAAAGCTAGCTTTAATGGTCACATGAGGATTACTTCTGTGTAGGGTGATCATCTGGTGATGCAGAGCCAGTGTAGTAGTTCCTATGCCACCCCCCTCATGGCTAGGGCTTCCCTAATCCCAGGCTGCAGGATAGTTCCTTGGGGTGTTTAGTAGCTAGTACAAGTTAGAACAGTCCTTAGGCTGCTCTAAGTTACACCAGAAGATGGGCCTGCCACACAACCGGCCCACAACTGGAGGAGTGTAAAGGTGGCTTAAAGTCATCTGTGCACACGCCCTTCTGAATTAGGTGGTGACAATCAATGATCTATGCCACTGAAAGTTAAAAGCTCGGGCAATAAATAACTGGGAATAGGGAAGACATTTTCCTGTGAAATCAGTGTCTGTTTTGGGATTCAGTGCATACTCTCCTCTTCTCTTCCCCCTCCCCCTTTGCATAAGCTCCATCAACTTCTATCATGACAAATATTTACATTTCCCACTGGCTCAGTGACTAATGGTCTTTGTAGAGTTGCCTCATGACCTTATGTAGGATCTGAAGAGTTTGTCTGCATGAATTTACCAGCAGGCAAATGTTTTCCTGCTGCTCTGCTGTAACTTCTTAAGTCGGGGCGGGGGGGGGGGGGGGGGGAGAGGGTTGCCTTCTGAGCACGTTTTCAGAATATCCATTCACATTTCAATCCTTTTTGCTTTGAGTCTCTTGGAATTTAAAATTACCCTCAGAATGCTCCACAGCACGATCAAATAAACCCCTCACTGGCAGCCAGAGGGGTGTCTGGTCAGAAAGGTATGAGTAGAAGCAGGTCCCTTTGGATTTTTGTCTCTATTTAACTTTGATGAAGATGCATTTGTTTTGTTCAGTTCTCCTGAAGCAGTTCTGCAATCACTGGTGTCCCACTGTGAGCTTATTTCTACTGCAGTGCCACACAAAAAGCCTTACAAAGGAAGCACAGCTACACTGCACATCCAGCTTATTTATGGCTTTCTTGAAATGGCTCGTCGTCTTTCTCCTTTAATGATAACTTTTTCCTGGGTCCCTGTATCACACTGGAGGAGGAAGCCTTTCTAAATGTGGAAAGTCTCCTCCGAAAGTTGCCCCCTGAAAAGAAATACAGGAGTGGGTCAAAGCAGCAGTTTGAAGCTGCCAAGGATAGGGTTATCACTACTAATTTCTGCATGAAAAGGATGTCTTCACAGCTGGAGTCGTTCCTCTTCAGGAAGTGAAGGTGGATTGTGCGCTGAATATGGTAAGGTGTGAAGCTGACCAGGAAGGCAGCTGTTACAATGATTATCATCCAGATGGCCTTCTTACGAGTAGACTGATTCTTCTTCAGTGAATTCTTCAGTAAGGTCTTTATGATCATGGCATAACAGATAGTTATGACACTAAAGGGGATAATGAAGCCTACAAACAGCGCAATATAATGTAGGACCAGCAGGCTGGTCATCTGACTGCTTTTTGGAGGTTCAAAGCACTTTGTCTTGTTACCTTCTGGGTAAGATCCACTCAGTAAAAATGGAGAACTTGTCAGTGTGACAAAAATCCAAATGCTCAGACATGCCAGTTTGGACTTTTTCTCAGTTACCAAATTGAGATTCTGGACGGGGAAAACTATGGCTATGCAGCGAGAGAAGCTCATGGCTGTCATGAATAAAATGCTACAGTACAGGTTGACGTAGAATGCATAGGAACTAACTCTGCATAAGAAGTCACCAAAGAACCAGTTGCCTCTGTGAACGTAATACACTACTCGAAGAGGCAGGGTGCATACACAGAGGAGGTCTGACACTGCAAGATTCAGCATGTAGATCTGGAAGGCTGTCTTCTGCTGGTACGTTTTTATGAGGACACACAGTACAAAGCCGTTTCCAACAAAGCCCAGAATCGCAATCATGGAGTACAATGTGGAGTACACTTTATTTCGGAAGTCGTCAATGGTCAAAAGGCATGTCAAGTTGCCATCAGGCAATGCGGTCATATTTCCTGTGGTATCCATAGGCTCTGCCTGAGAGGTGTCACCTTGAAACCTACAGTCTAAAGATGAAAAATAAAAGTGAGTTTTATAAAGCAATACATCAAAATATAACCCAATTATTAAATGGAAAAGACAGAAAGGTGGGTTTTTTGTTTGTTTTTTGGGGTGGGGCTAGAAGGGTTCATTTTGAGCTAATATTTCAAATATCTGATGGCATAACTATCCTCACAAAAGGCAGGATCAATGTTCTTAAACCCAGATAATTCGTATTATAAACATCAAGGATGAGATTTTCAAAATTCCTCAGCATTGGCTTGACTCTTCTCCCACTGAAGTCAATTGGAGTTTTGCCTTTGACCCCCAAGGAAGAAGAATTAGCCCAACACTGAGAACTTCTGAAAATCCCATGCTAATTTCTCATAAGCAGGGCCGGCTCCAGGCACCAGCGCAGCAAGCAGGTGCCTGGGGCGGCCAATGAAGAGGGGCGGCACGTTCGGCTCTTTGGCGGCAATTCGGCGGTGGGTCCCTCAGTCCCTCTCGGACAGAAGGACCTGCCGCCGAATTGCCGCCGAAGAATGGAGTGGTGCGGTGGAGCTGCCGCAGAAGTGCCGCCAATTGCAATCGCGGCTTCTTTCCCCCCCCCCCCCCCCCCCCCCGGCCGCTTGGGGCGGCAAAAACCCTGGAGCCGGCCCTGCTCATAACTCATTCTAAAAGCAAATAAAAGAACAAAACAAAAATCCCCACTGGTGCTATCACTGGTTCCAAACTGGCAGTACAGTAGTACTGGTTGGAGCTGCAATGCAGACAACTTTATTGGCTTCCAAGTTCTAACTTCCATGTTAGTTAAAAGGGGGAGAAGGAAATATCTGACAGCAGTATAATCACTGGTCAGCAAATATAGAACTTTAAAATGTATTCAAAAGGGACACGTTTAGCTACTCACTCCTGTTTTTAGTGTGCTCACTCTCTAAATGCCTGGCAAATCCCAACTCCCTCCACACCATTCCGGAGGCCTTCTTGCATGAGGACAGACCTCAGCAGGAGAAAGCCCATATGGCAAGTTTTGAAGCTTTAACCAAAGTGTACAAAGAAGCCTTTTCTAGTACACAGAACGATTTAAAAAACTTTAAAAATAATCTTGAAGACAGCTCCAAGGTTGAGGCTGCTCACAGCTAGAATAGATGCTCGTTAGCTGCCAAAATTCTGCACAGGCCTCACTCCACTTAGGAATGATACAAATCTTAACTTGCCAAATTAATATAATATATTATACACAGTCCCTCACCCATTTCATAAGAGCCCTACATGTTAGCCTACCAAAATCCAAATGTCGGAGGAGGGCTTACAATGGGAAGTTAACTCCAGAAATATCAAGACTTAGAACAACGCTTCCTTAGCTCTCGTCCCCTAACGCCCCTACTCTACTTGCGCTACATTGATGACATCTTCATCATCTGGACCCATGGAAAAGAAGCCCTTGAGGAATTCTACCATGATTTCAATAATTTCCATCCCACCATCAACCTCAGCCTAGATCAATCCACACAAGCGGTCCATTTCCTGGACACTACTGTGCTAATAAGCAATGGTCACATAAATACCACCCTATACCGGAAACCTACTGACCACTACACTTACCTACATGCCTCCAGCTTCCATCCAGGACGCACCACACGATCCATTGTCTACAGCCAAGCTCTAAGATACATACGCATTTGCTCCAATCCCTCAGACAGAGACAAGCACCTACAAGAGCTCTATCAAGCATTCTTAAAACTACAATACCCACCTGCTGAAGTGAAAAAACAGATTGACAGAGCCAGACGAGTACCCAGAAGTCACCTCCTACAAGACAGGCCCAACAAAGAAAATAACAGAACATCACTAGCTGTCACCTTCAGCCCCCAACTAAAACCTCTCCAGCGCATCATCAAAGATCTACAACCTATCCTGAAAGATGATCCCTCACTCTCACAGATCTTGGGAGACAGACCTGTCCTCGCATACAGACAACCCCCCAACCTGAAGCAAATACTCACCAGCAACCACACATCACTGAACAAAAACACTGACCCAGGAACCTATCCTTGCAACAAAGTCCGATGCCAACTCTGTCCACATATCTATTCAAGTGACATCATCATAGGACCTAATCACATCAGCCATGCCATCAGGGGCTCGTTCACCTGCACATCTACCAATGTGATATATGCCATCATGTGCCAGCAATGCCCCTCTGCCATGTACATTGGCCAAACTGGACAGTCTCTACGCAAAAGAATTAATGGACACAAATCTGACATCAGGAATCATAACATTCAAAAACCAGTAGGAGAACACTTTAACCTGTCTGGTCATTCAATGACAGACCTGCGGGTGGCAATTTTGCAACAGAAAAGCTTCAAAAACAGACTCCAACGAGAAACTGCTGAGCTGGAATTGATATGCAAACTAGATACAATCAATTTAGGCTTGAATAGAGATTGGGAATGGCTGAGCCATTACAAACATTGAATCTATCTCCCCATGTAAGTATTCTCACACTTCTTATCAAACTGTCTGTACTGGGCTAACTTGATTATCACTTCAAAAGTTTTTTTTCTCTTACTTAATTGGCCTCTCAGAGTTGGTTAGACAACTCCCACCTTTTCATGCTCTCTGTATGTGTATAGATATCTCCTCAATATATGTTCCATTCTATGCATCCAAAGAAGTGGGCTGTAGCCCACAAAAGCTTATGCTCAAATAAATTTGTTAGTCGCTAAGGTGCCGCAAGTACTCCTGTTCTTTTTGAGAAATATCAATGTTTTCCATAATCTCCCTTTGGTGACTCAGCATTTCTTTTGTTGTAAGATGCTAGCCTTACTCACCAGGCTGGGGACTTATCTCATGCTCAAATCAGTTTTTAGCCCTGCCTCCAGTCTCCATTCATTGTGCAAACCTCCAACAAATTTACAAACGAAAAACAGAACTTCCAGTCGGGACTTTCTATCCAGCCACAACACCTAGGGCTTCCCACCTGGAGTCTCTCTTCCCCAGGAACTACTGCAGGAGACAGGTTTCAGAGTGTTAGCCGTGTTAGTCTGTATCAGCAAAAACAAGGAGGAATCCTTGTGGCACCTTAGAGATTAACAAATACTGATACTCACACCTTCTTGTCAACTGTTTGAAATGGGCCACCTTGATTACATTGGCCTCATTAGCACTACAAAAGTGATTTTCCCTCCCTTGGTATTCACCCCTTCTTGTCAACTGTTGAGAATAGGCCACTTCCACTTTAACTGAATTGGCTCCTTAGCACTGACCCCCCCACACTTGGTAAGGCAACTCCCATCTTTTCACGTGCTGTGTATTTATACCTGCCTACTGTATTTTCCATTCCAGGCAACTGATGAAGTGGGTTTTAGCCCACGAAAGCTTATGCCCAAATAAATTTGTTAGTCTCTAAGGTGCCACAAGGACTCCTCGTTGTTTTTACTGCAGGAGACTGTCCCTTCCTGTAGCATCTTCCTACAGCTCTTTATAGGGAAAAACTATGCCCTTCTCAGCTGCATTTGATTAGTGATCAGGGCTGGCAGGTCCCAGATCTCTGGCCCTTAAGTGGGTGAGCCACCCTGTTACATATGCAAATAGTTCAGATGCTAAAAAGATGATTAGGATGAATTCCATCTAGGTCTGTGACGGGGACCATTGAAAGAGGTGCTATGAAGATAAAGATTTACTCCCCAAATCAAAGAAAAAACACGTGTCTTATGCAGCACCATTTAGGAAGTGCACACTAGTCTGGTGCAAGGGGGCATTTCAGCCTTCTGAAATCATCAAGGGAAGTGCTGAGCTCAAGCATTTAATTACTTTTGGTTTCCTTTAATACTGGACAACTTCTGTATCAAATAAATATTTCTTGGGGGACATAATATTAGAAATGCTCAGCAGCAACCTCTGAAGGACATGCTAGCTATCGTGTGTGTGATTTATAAAGAACCCCTCTGTATGCCTGTAGAGGGGCAGGCGAGATTTGGAAGTGGACAAGCAAATCGGTTATATAATGATTTGTTCAGAGCCACTTCCCAGCAGTGGGTAAGATCACATCCTCTCTGAGTCAGAGTGGAGTAGGCAAATCCTCCATCCTTGCCTAGGTTAGCTTCTTTATACGGACTCTGTTCCCCTTTGTGGGTTTCGTTCAGTTCCATTGCTTTATGTAGAGCAATTTAGAACATCAGGCTGCCTGATTTGTTCCATCTTAAATCTGTTAGCAGTAGCATTTTATAATGTTTGAAGTAGATGAATAAAAACAAAGAGATAAGTCCACCACTTAAAAAAGTCTAGTGTCTTCACTCTCAAGCAAGATGTTTGAGATTACATATGTGAGAAAGAATTAATACATGATGGCATAGTAAGGATTTATCTGCATGAATTTACTTAGACTGTGAGCTCTTTGGGGCAGGGACTGTCTCTGTTCTGTGTTTGTGCAGTGCCTTCCACAACGGGGTCCTGTTCCATGACCAGGGTTCCTAGGCACTACAGAAATACAAATACTAAATAATAATAATAATAATAATGATGATAGGTTTGGGATGGTCAGATTACTCAGGAGTGGGAAGGCATCAGGGGTTATGCAGGTGTTCCCAAACAATATAACATTTATAGCATCCTACCCTAACAAGCCCTCTATATGTGCCAAATATTTTACAGCAAGTCTATTTTTATAAATATTCTGGGAAGTTTTAAAACTTCATTGGGACTATTTTTTGTTTTCTTTCATCTCTGAAACCAGATGCTCTAATTACCATGAGTTCAACAAAAACTCTAAAAGTGACCTAAAATAGCTTTCCATACATAAAAATATCATGACCTTAAGGTCTGATATCCCAGGATAATCCATGGGTCTCCCCATGGACAGAAGGAGATAGTCTCCCTGCTTAGACTTGCTCAGCGATGAGTCTGATGGACTTTGGGGAAGAGGTGTGGCTGCAGTGGTGGGAGAGGCTGTGGTTGGAAGGACATTACAACATGCAAACTTAAATAAGCAAGAGCCACGTGGTGATGTTCACAGTTGCAT